CGGGAGGCGGCGCAGGCCGCGGCGGGGCCTGCAGCGGCCCGCCGACCCCGCGAGACGCCGGAGCGGGCCCCAGAGCGGTTTAGCCTCGAGCTTGGCGCCTGGGGGCGACCGGGGGCGGCCTCCCCGCTACTTACCTGAGAGGAAGATAGCCGGGATCCCGGGGGCCCGGGCCGGACCGCGGAGATGCCCCAAACTGACACGGCCGCCATCTTGGAGACAGTGAGCTCCGGCGGGGGGAGGGGCGGCCAGGCGGCGGAACAGCCGCGGGGGGAGGGGAGCGTCGCGAGGGAACCGCCGCCTGGGGAGGGAGCGGGAACAGCCTGCGCAGGACGGAGGGGAGGAGCCGGGGGCGCGCTGGGGGGGACAGCCGAGAGCGGGAAGAGCGGCGGAACACCAGGAAGGCCCGGAGGGCGGGGCAAGCCAGGAAGGAAGAGCCGCCTGGCAGGTCACGTGGGGCGGGTACAAAAGGCCAAAGCCAAAGCGGGAGGAGGACTTGGCAGGGCTGGAGGCCGGCAGCTGGGGGCTTCTCGCGCTTCTTTTTCGGCTAGATCAGGCAGCTATCAGGGCGAGAAGCGGAGAGATCATCCCCTTTACACAGGGAAACTGAGGGCACGCTCTCCCGGGCGGCTGCTTCGGGCAGTTCGCAAACCTCTTTGCCTTCATCCGGGCTTGCACTGTCCGGGTCTCCCCACAGTGCGAGTTTCCCACGGTTTGGGCGTCCACACCGAGTGCAGAAGTTCCTACCCTTGCCCTGGCCTTTCTGCTCATCGCTCATCCATCCCTGACTCAAAGAGTGAGTCTGGAGAGAAGGGGGAGAGGCAGAAAGTTGGACACCCTGACAGCTTTATAGGAAACAGCACAGGCACCCCTCGGTTCCTGTGACTTGGCCAAGGTCACAGCTACTATGACACGCACCTGCATGTAGAACCTGCCTCTGTTTCCTCCAGTCATGTCACATGCTGATTGCACTTGTCCCCATTTTGGCCAAATCACTAAGTGATGCTTTTCCATGGACTGTGTCCTCTACCTGCGACGTGTTTCTTTTTCTTTTGTCTAGACATCCACTAGAAACTAAGAGATTGGGTCAGACTTGTTCCTCTTATTTTTCTCCTCCTGCCTTCACTGGAAAAAGTTACTGACAAAAGACAAGTTTTAGAAGTGTGTTGCTGTTACCAGACCTTTATCTGCTTTGTGCCTGGTGTTCTAGACTCCCAACCTTATTTACAACTTTGCCTTTTCAGAAAGACCTCCCACTATTTGCTGCCTTAACTTTGATGTTTACTTTCTTTTCTGATCTGTAGTAGTATTTGCTTTCATCATTTCATACTTAATGTGTAGGCTTTATGTATACTATGAGTATTTGCAGATTAATGCTCTTTTTTGGGTACCTTTGCCATCTCCGGAACCTAGCCAGCATGATATGCAAGGATAAGGACTCAAAAACTGCCTCTAGTGAATAAGCATTTGTAGCCACCTCATGCCCTGTCTTGTTACCCCTCATTCTATACTTTCCTATCTTTGTAGTTCTTCTTCACTATAGACTTTCAAAGCTATCCAGTAATTAGTAGCCTGAAAACCTCAGATGAAGGGCCCAACACCCAAGCTCCAGGGTCAGTGACAGACCCTATCAGAAGAGTCTGGTGGAGAAAGATAGAGCCAGATGGCAGATGTCATTCTGGACTCTGAGAATGGACACATACACTTCTTCTTACATTTGTATAACTAAATGACATATTCACAGGTCTTTTAAATTTGAAGCAAATCCGTAGCAAGTTAAAAACCCATCTACAGCTCCAGAAAGAGAATTAATTTGCTTAATTCTTAGGGTTTGTTTGAGATTTTTGTTTAGTTTGTTGGTTTTTTGAGACAATTCTGACAGCTAAACATTGCTTCTTCCTTACACATTTTGTCCTACAAATCCCTGTTCTTAGCTATTTTTAGTAACTGTTTCATGCAGTCCAGATTAGCCCAAACTTCACAGAGTACTTTGTCCTGGTTTCAACAGAAATATTTTAATACATTTACATTTACTATAACAACTGGCATATTTTAAGTTTTTAATTATTTTTATTTTATGTGTATGAGTGTTTTAAATTCATGTATCTTAAGTGTACCCAAGTGTGCAAAGCCTGCAGAGGTCAGAAAAGGGCATCAGATCCCCTGGAACTGGAGTTATGAATGGTCATTAGCTACCATGTGGGTACTGGGAACTTAACCTGGATCCTCTGGAAGACTAGCCAGTGTGCTTAACCACTGGGAGCCCTCTCTCCAACCTTGGAGATGTTTCAATTTATACTTACCTTATTTCTGTTTTATTTTATTCTGGTTCATCCATATTGAATCTTTTGTTCTATCTTGCTTTCTTCGGAATTAATGAAAATATTTCAAATACAGAAGCTGAAGAGATGGCTCAGTGGTTAAGAGTACATGTCACTCTTGCAGAGAATCCAACTTTAGTTCCCAGAACTCTTGTCAGAAAGCTCACAACTACCTCTAATGCCAGTTCCAGGCAATCCAACACCCTCTTCAGGTTTCCAAAGGCACCCATATCATGTGGCATATGTTCACACAGATAGTCACATAAATTAAAATTTAAAAATATTTCAATTACATTAAACCTCTATCAGCTAAGATATTCTTTTACTAATACTGGGAGCTATAACATTCCTTTTGACTTATTACACTCTAGTGTAAATTATTACTTTTATCAATTCCTCAAGAATGCTAAGACTAGAATATTTTGCCTTGTGAACAGAAGTTCTCTGAAGAAGCTATATCTGCAGATCCTCCAGACTATTTGACCTTGGCTAACTAGTCCATGGTGATTGTGGAGAGATAGAATATTGCAGGGCAAAATTATCTTTGGCTATCTTAGAGCCTTTAATGGCCAATTACCTCGAGTTTTGTATCTGATCTAACATTTTTCTAATAGATAAACTTCTCAGATTATATCACTAAGCTTAATGGGCATCTAGCCTCAATCAACTCTAAGAATATTGTAACATCTGACACCCATAAAAGAACTGTCCCCATTTCCTATAGCTGGCTTATCTGGTACCCTTACCACATAATGAATTTAGAACACGTATTAGTTTATGACTTTCTTCTGTTCTCTGACTATAAAAATTCAATATAGACTCTTCCACAGTAGAACATGTTATGGCAACTTGAAGCCATTTTCAGGCCCTATGGTCACACATATTAGACTCAGAATAAATCATTTTCTTACAGCCTTTAAAACAATCATTTTTTGCAGACAGACTCCAGAAATATGAAAAACCAAGATAATATGTCCCCACCAAATCCCACTAGTCCTACAGAAGTGTTCTACAGTGAGAACTACACAGAATAACCCAGTACACAGAAGTTAAAAAAACAATCATAAACATGATCAAAGAATTCAGCGCCTTTAAAGAACATACAAAAACCTCAAAGAAATCAAAGGGGTAGCAGTAAACTCCTGGATGAGGCTCAACAAAATGTAAATACATGACTGAATGAAATGACATAGACAATTCGGGATTTGAAATGATAGGAGAAAGCCTCACCAGCAAAATGAATCAACGAGAAACAGAATATCAAGACGAGATGCTAAAAGTTGAAGAATTGGACTGCTCAAGCAAAGAATAAGAAAAAAATTACAGACACAGGAATGGACTATGCAAGAAATATGGGACACCATGAAAAAAAAATCTACACATCAGAGACATAGAGGAAGGAGAAGACTCTCAAGTCAATGGCATTGACCAGATCTTTATATCCTTTAATAGGATTATAGACAAAAACATCCCTAAATTAAGAAAAGACTTACCCACACAGAATACCAAATAGACAGAACCAGAATAGAAACTCCCCATGGCATATCATAGTAAAAAAAAAACCAAATGTAAAGAACAAAGAGAGAATATTGAAAGCTGCAAGAGAAGAACATAAAAATGAAAAGAGAATCCATCAGAATTACAGATGTCTTTTCAATGCAAATTGTAAAAGCCAGAAGAGCCTGGAATATAGTATTCCAAATTCCAAGTGATCATAGATACCAACCCAGAATACTTTACCCAGCAAAATTGTCTATCATAGATGAAGGGAAATGAAAAGTCTTTGATGATACAAATAGGCTGAAGGAATACTGTCTACCAAACCATCCCTACAGAGAATACTCAAAATAAGAAATTCATCTTACTTTCAAGGATAGACACCACTTTGGGGTGAAAGGATGGAAAAAGATAGTCCAAGCAAATGACATGAAGAAATAAGCAGGTACTGCAATTCTGACAAAATACACTTCAAATAAAAAATCAGAAGAGATAAAGAAGGTCACTTCATTCAATCAAGGCAATACAATCATGAATATACATGCACCAAATTCTGGTGCACCCAATTTCACAAAAACAATACTACTGGACTTCAAGACACAAATTAACCCCAACTCAGTAATAGAAGGTGGCTTCAATACCCCAGTATCTCCAATAGGCTGGTCAACTGAACAAAGAATAAACAGAAAAACATTTTAATTAAATGCTGTACATCAAATGGACCTATCAGACATCTATAAAATATTCCACCCAAACACCAAAGTCACATTCTACTCAGCAGCCCAAGAAAGTTTCTCTAAAGTAAACCACATACTGGGACACAGAACAAACTTGAACAAATAAACAGTTGAAATAATTCCATGTTTTCTATTGGACCACAACACAATAAAGCTTACATTAACAACAAAAGAAGCTTTAGTAACTCCATCAACTCATGGAGCTTAAACAACACACTCCTGAAAGATGAATGGGTCAAAGAAGATATCAAGAAAGGAATAAAAGTATCCCTGTAACTAAATGAAAATAGCTATGACAAATTAAAAGTAGTTCTAGAAGGAAGTTTATACCACTAAGTGCCTACATTTAAAAAAAGCAGAGCACAAATAAATGATTTAATGATATAACTCAAGAATCTGGAAAAGCAAGAACAAACCAAACCCAAATGTAGCAAAGAAGAAATAAAAATCAGAGCAGAAATGAGTGAAATAGAAACAAAGAAAAAAAATACAAAGAATCAGTGACTCTTAAGAACTGGTTATTTGAAAAGATAAATAAGATAGACCCTTAGTCCAATCAACCAAAAGAAAGAGCAAATCCCATTCAACAAAATCAGAAACAGAGGGGTAACATCACAAAGGACACAAAAAGATCTATTATTAGAAAATACTTTAAAAACCTATACTATATTAAATTGGAAAACTTA